ATTTCTGGTGGACGTTGGACGATGCGTCTAGATATCCGAGCAACGCTGTATCGTCTTGATGCAATGCGTGCAAGGGGCCTACGATCTTGGATGGGCTTTGGGGAAGGTTCTTGCTGGAAGCGTACTGTACTTATGATTCTACGCGGCATGATTTTATGGGGTGGGTGGGGGGACCCACGTCTATAGAAAACAGACTGTCGACGCTGAAGATTCGTTGCAGTTGGGTCAATGGAATGGGTCCATCGAGTCAACTGCAAGGAATCTCGCATTGCTTGCAAGTAGCGCGCCATTTCGCTCGCACGTTGACGCAGGCGCAATCTACCAACGCGTCGACGGCGCGTGCTTCCAGCAAAGGCTCCTTTTTCTTGCGGAAATCGCACTGCAATCCATGCGACCCCTATCAAAAGAAGTGGGTCGAAGCCGTCTCCATGCGCCACGTCATGTATGGGCTATGCACATTTGAATCAACATCGCCGGACGACCTGCAAGACTAGATGAACGACGCCAAGCCCACACAACCGCGCCATTCTGTGGACATGCTGACTAGCGTAATCGATACCATCGACGATTGCGCTTGCATCATCGCTTTGCAGCGTACCTCACATGCACTTTTCAATACCGGTACCGGTTGTGTCAAGCTTTAGAGTGTTGTGGTTGACCGACCACCTTGATTGCAATCGATTGATGCGTCATCAGTGGGCGCCTTGTGGAGCTATCGACTTGAAATGCGACGGGCTCGCTACTAGTACATCAATCAAGATTGGGTCCACGTCATCCACGACATCTCTTGGCATCGGCGACAGTAAGTGCAGCAAAACCACAGAAGACATGTCTGGCAATGTGCAGATTCATGCTATGCACACACGGACTTTCTTTCGTGCTCACTGAGCTCGACCGGTCGGTCTCTCGGCTCCAGCACACGGAATACGAAAGCTAAGTGTGTTTTAGATGCTCGGATCGTTTTGAACGACTGCTGATAGATAGATAGATAGATAGATAGATAGATAGATAGATAGATAGATAGATAGATAGATAGATAGATAGATAGATAGATAGATAGATAGATAGATAGACATGACGTGGCTTCGCTTTATCTAACCTAGCAGCTCCTGGCTGTAAGCGCAATGCAGAAACACCATTGCCTACAAGTACCTCCATCGAAGCGCTCGACAGCGTAGCGATCGCAGTCCCAAACCAAGCGCCTTCGTTTGTGCCGCCTCGTATGGCGGTTGCTATTAATACTGCGAACATGTCATCGAATATATACCTCTCCCTCAAGACAAGACGCATGGTTGGACGCAAAACGGTCGTTAAAATAAGGTTAAATAGACGAAGAGGGCCACGCTTCTAGTCGCTGTGGGGTCCGTACAAGGCCGTGATCTGCGTGATCGGGCCACGGCAGATCGGGCATGTCATCGCGCGGTTGCACCAGTCATGGAGGCAGTCGCGGTGAAAGCAGTGGCCACAGGGCAGCTTCAAGATGGCCCCCGCCACCTCCAAGTCCTCGTGCTCGAACGCATCGAGGCAGATCGTGCAATCGTCGTCGCACACAAGCGACGACGGCGCGGGCTCAAAAACCACGCGCCGCACGTCCTCGGGCACGGCAAGAAACGTGGCGAGCGCCTCCTCCAAAGCGGTGGCACCCGACGCCCGGACGTCCGTGTAGAGCGCCAAGAGGTGGCCGACAAAGGCTTCAAATCCCTTGATGCGCGCCGCAATCACATGCGGCTTTTCCGCGTCCATGTGCTTTTTCGGGAACGGCATACTCAGCGCCTCCTCCAAGTGCCGGGACGACACGCTGGCCATCGCAGTGCGCATGTGGGCCAGCGTCGTCGACCGGAAGGCGAGCATCTCCGAGTAGCGCTTGGCGACGCGCCAAGTGCGGTGCGTGACAGGGCAGGTGAGGCCCATGTCGTACTGCACGTAATACCCGAAGAAGGTCTGCCCCGACCCGATCGAGACCTCCACGTCGACGACCGGGATGCCCATGGACGCGTGCAGGTGCGTCGGTGACGGCGACGGCGACGGCAGCGAGGAGGCGAGGGACTTGGCCATCGCCAGGAACGGAAGCTCTTCGCACGACGGTGACTTTTGCATGCTTATACTAGTCGACGAAGAAGAGAATAGGAGACGGTGGCGCGCTGTGCAGAACCAAACCAAACAAAGAATGAGCTCTCGAGTGAGAACGCGGGGCGGGAGACAGGGCGAACGTGGTGCGACACGGGCCCGCTTGATTTCTGTGGATTTTGACGACCCACGGCAACGACGCGATCGGATTGGCTGCTTTTGGCGGGACATGCCCTGTCGCAGCAAATGTCGATGAAAAAGGCTGGTTTCTTGAACCGAGCGTGCGGTCGACGGCCACTCACGCGCGTTCTTGTGGCAGAGACTGCCAAGTGGCGGGATGAATGGCCGTGGCTGGTGTGGGGACCGGTCGCCAGTCCGTTGGCCCTCGCTCCTCCAACCTGTCAATGTGGCTCTTTTCTTTTCTGTCACGGCCATTGTTTGAGCATTGCCATGGTTTGGCATGGCCGAGGCAGCTGCGTCGTCTTGCGTGCGCGGTACGGACGCCCGTCGCCGTTCGAGTGTCGGGCAAGATAGGTGGCACGACGTACAGCTACCGGTCGTCGACACTTTCTAGAACAGCGAGCCGTCGTCGCAGCCCTAGAGTACCATTGCGCAGAGTACCCACTCCCATAGCGCAGTCGTACTAGGCTTAGACTCGGAGCGGAGCGTCCGAGTCTGTCGGATGGATCGCGCGGGATTGGTCCAACCAGTGCGCTGTTTTGCTAGCACATCGCCGCTACCTGGTACAGACCGTGCTTTGTCTGCACCTGCGGCAGGGCCAAAGAAGCGAACCACGTCGGCAGCCAACGTCGTACCGCTGAATGCAAACTCAGTCGAGTCCCATTCTCCTACCTTGTCGAGGTTGGAAGGAGGTGCTGGTGGGCTTAAGAGCCCCTACGATGAGCTCGTGACAGCAAGTGCATTCCCATGGCACCGCCAGTATGGATGGCTCGAAGCCAAGCCGCGCCGTGGTAGCCCTGTTTCGAATCCTCAATGGAACCTTCTGCAGCGTAGATTTTGGTTGGATGGTGTACGAACGGTGTCCCTTGTGCGGTGGCGTCAACCATCGAGCCTTCCGTCCCGAGGCGCCCGAAGCGGCTGCCGTTCGCGCCGCGTTCTTGACCACGTTGCACCTTCAACATTTGCGGCTGCATACCCAAGCACTGTGTCTCTTCCGCATGATGAACGCCCTGCGCCTGGCTTCGCGATCACCTCGTTCCGGCATGCGCCTCGTCTCCACGAAGCCCGTCCCTGCCGCGACGTCGCAACACGTTTGGAGTCGAAAGTCCACCTCCAAACGCAGTGCAGCGGCAATGGACTCCCTTCGACAACGAGCCCGTCTCTCAAGCTCACACGCATGGTGCGGAATCGCAGTGCGTTGCGCTACAATTGTCGCGAAAGTACCACAAGGTTCAAGTACTATAAGGTGGGTCGAGCAGGGTGTTTAGCTTACGTCGGGTGACGCCACGCCTTGTCGATGGAAATGTAGGTACAGAAAGCCAACACACAACGATTCGATTGCCCTTGATCCGTATCGCGTATCTCAACAGTCCAAGACAAGTCCATCCATCGTAAAAGTATATTGCGGGAGCATACACGATCGTTCGCACCTGACGTCATATCTATCTATCTATCTATCTATCTATCTATCTATCTATCTATCTATCTATCTATCTATCTATCTATCTATCTATCTATCTATCTATCTATCTATCTATCTATCTATCTATCTATCCTCTATCCATTTATCTAGCAAGATCGTTCGCACCTCGACGACAGGACTGGGACGCACCCCTGGGTCACAGCCTCGTTTGTGAAATTGCCCGCGCGCTAGGCACATTTGCATCATGTCGTTCGAATCCAATGACGTTTTCATCGCTGGCACTATTAGGCTCATGGGCTGGACATGGTGTCGGACACTGACACACCTTGCGACAGGACTGTCGTTGCACGGAGCAGCACGCGCCGTTGGGCGAAGCAGGCTCTTTGCTCGCACGCCATCTCGTTACCTTGGACTTGTCCAGTGCGAGGCATTGCTGGCGCCACGACCTAAAACCGTGACGACAATGAAGCGGACAGCGGCTTCGATGCGCCCATCACGCCGAGGGCGGCCATGGCAGCACGCCAACCGTAGCGTCTGTCCACCCGCTTACATCGGGTAGTTCAATGTCAGTCAGATGCTAAAGAGCTAAATTGCCCGTAGCACGTGTCCGACCTACTGAGAGTTCTACCGGGACTGCGGTTGAGTTCTCATGGTTTCAAGATTGGGATGCAGCCTGGCTACGCACACGACCTCTGCTGCTCTCCTCTGCTCGGGCGAGCGATACCCTAACGGCTTCAATGCGTATACTTGCATCTAGGTCGTTGGTGCTCGTCGTCGACAATGGAATCCTTGACTTCGCTGCGGCGGACCGCGAGACGGTCGTCCTTGCACTTGCCGTCAACGTCGTGTTGCTGTGTGGCGCAAACATGCACGCGATTGGTAAAAAAACAGCCAATGGATGGGCGCCATTGTGCTGTCCGGATAGACATCCGGATACCACCGCAAGTCGCATCATGCACCACAAAACCCAGCAACCTCTCAAACTGAATATCAATTGCGACCGGAAGTCGCGTTGACTTTGGATTAGCGGCAATCGACCGACGACGATGAACCACCTCCTTGCGCGTGGCCTCCGCGCCCTTCCGCTTCGCC